TAATCTTTCTCTCTATTCCAGACAAATACAATAGAAAAACTTAACGAGGTATCTTTTCCAGGCCAATAATGAAACTCAGCTCAAGTACAAGGGACTGGGACTAGCCAAAATAATCTTGAAAAAAAGAACTCACATTTCCTTATTCCCGAACATACTATGAATCTACGGTAACTGAGAAAGACATTAGGAAAAAAAGACAAATCAAGGTATATTACGTAAGGTACACATTCCCTGTAATGAATACGATCAATGTACATATCTAAATTGTATCAATAAACTTAAAAAATTTTTTAAAAAAGAACAGATATATAAATCAATGAAATGGAACTGACAGTTCAGAAATAAACCTTTACACTTATAGCATAATACTTACAAACTGATTTTTCATGCATGACTTTGAATTAGGCAATGATTCCTGAGATAAGACACCAAAAACTACCAAAAACAGAACAGAAAAAGTGTACTACAAATATTTAAAAATTTCATGCTGTAAATCACATCATTAAAATGAAAGGATTTTTTTCTCCATTTGCACTCTTGCCATCAATAAAGAGAAGAAATAATTCTGGTAGTGATTCTGGTATGCTGATTCTTTAGACCAGAAGAGAGACAAGCCTGCTGATGAGTCTAGGACATCAGTGCCACACTGGATCACAGACTGCTGAATTCCTGAGCACCTGGAGGAGGGAAGATCCATGAGACAGAACAAACAGTCCTTCAGCCACAGCTTTCCAAATCATCTCTCAGTCTCACTACTTTGGCTTCTATTTGCAGTTTTTTCATTAAGAAGGTGAGAATACTGCACAACTTTACTCAGATATAACCATCTCAAAAGCTCTTTGCTGCAGCTGCAGCAATTTAGAATGTCCTCTGCACCTCCATTGGGGAAATATATCTTTTTCTCTCCAATGTGGGGAGAAAATGACAGGAATACAGCAGAAGCTTAGCTTCCTAGCTTTGAAATTAGAACTATGTCACCTGAACAAAAATAACATGCCACTCCCGTGGGCATGTTAACCAGTCACTGATGCTAGAGATAACCTGGGGGATGACAGCACAAGAATCCTAAGCCCACGACAGACATACAATATGACTTAGAAACAGAACTAGTGTTTTTAGTCACCAGTATTTTACAGTTGCTACTGCCTTATAAACCAATAAACCAAGCCAACATTTTGGCCCTAGCCTTCTAAGGTCAATTAAGACTCAGGACATATGAGAACTTGTACTGTAACGTCATGTAACTCGGTAGTGTCCCAATTTTTCCGATCATGGAGATTATGGGGCCAAAGAGGAAAGTGATCAATGATGTAGAGTGTGCCTAAGGAGAGTCACATGGAGAGAAAACATTCTCTCAGGCTTTCACAGTAAGCACTCTGGCCAAGCAATGGCCGTGACTCATCCACATGGCTGACACTGACAAAGGATCTACAATCTGAGGTACAGGATCTCAGGATAAATCCTGAGATTTCACTGACCTTATCAGACCCAAAAGCTACAACCCTTGTTGCATAGGTCCTGCTTTATTTTGGTCTTAACCATCCAGCAGAAAAGTATAAAAACGAAGTATAAGAAGTAAAGCCATGCTGTTATGTTGAGCTGTAGGGGACTCAGGTCAACAATTTCTGACATTGCCAGTCAAGCGGAAGACCCAATACTATTATGGACTACTGGACTCTTTTAGAGTATTTTGCTGAGTTTATACACCTATAGTATTTGAATGATGGAACTTAACAAAAAAAGGGGATACAGGTGAATGTCCATTTTGTATCTGTGTATTCAAAGTGGTTAGGTTAGATACATAGTTACATTTTCTTAATGAATAGAGGGATTTGTTCTAATGGTGTTTGTAAATAGGGTATCAAGTCCACATCTTGTACAGCAATGAACCAGTAGGAAGAATGTATGTAATGTGTTAATTATTGAAACTGTCCTACCAATTTGGTTTGAAACTGTCTCATTGCTATTTGTTTCTCAATAAAATTATGGGAAAAAAATAATAAACCGATAAACCATAACATACTCACTGTCATGGAACAAGACTTTGAAAACCAGGGGAAAGGTGAGCCTATCTTATATGTGGAAAAGATGTGAACCATTAGGGGTGAAATGGTGAACTGTACTGAAGAGCTAGAATGGACCCCAAAGAGTCCCATCTCCTAACATTCACAGTGGAATGGGCTCAGATCAGTACTTCTGACAAAACAAAAGGAAAAATACTGAAAAAGCAATGGGATGATGCTCATGAGATTTAATTATTTAAAAAGAAAAGCGGCTTCTTTCTTGTTTACTGTGTCTCACTCTAAAGTGAAGCCTCTGTTCTAGAGAAAGCCAGTCACTTAGCCAGTGCTAAGCAGCTCTATAAAAAGGTCCACATGGCAAAGAATTAATTTCTCTGCTTTATATCAGAAAATACAAGAGGCTTACCAACAGTCATGTGAATGAAATTGGAAATATATCTTTTGAGCTCTGACATAAACCATGCTACTAAACTTGGAAGATGATGCTCTTCCATTTGGGCCTTGGAATGGCTTCACTCCTGGTTAACACCTTGATTGCAGTCTTGTGAGAGCTCTTGACCAAAAGACACCCAGCTAAGCTCCCCCCATTTGTGACCCAAAGAAACCATGAAATAAGAAAAGTTCATTAAAAGGGCAGAGAAGAAGAAGAAGAAAAAAAGTAACAGTTTAAAACTGGAAAAAAAATTTGCAAACCATGTATCAGATGAGACCAGTACTGAGTACACATAAAGAACTCTTATAACTCAATAATACAAAGAACCTAATTAAAAAACAAAGGATCTAGCCAAACACTCCTCCAAAAGTATACAAACAGCCAATAACACATGAAGAGATGCTCAATATTATGAGATATAATAACATGTTGAGAATACAGACAAACTGAAACTTTCATATGTTCCTGGCAATATGCATGGCCATTTTGAAAAACACTGGCAGTTCTTAAATGTAACTTACATGTACAGTTACTTCATGATAAAACAATTCTATTCCTAGGTATATGTCCAAGAAAATGAAAATACATGTTTTATCAAAAAACCTACATACAAATGTTCATAGTAGTATTATTCAGAGTACTCAAAAAGTGGAAACAACCTATATGTCTATCAGTGGAAGACACAGACTGAAGAAAATGGTACTGGCAATACCAAGTTCAGAAACAGGATAAAGACAACAATTGAACCCTCTGAGGACAGCAATTAGGAACAACTAAGCTTTCTGAAGTCTACAAGTAGGTACCTACACTTGAACCAATTGCTGGCAAATACTTTGATAGCCAATTCAGAAATGCACCAAGGAAAAAATACTTGCCCACAGCAGAGTTAACTAGCAGAGAAATTTTTGCAATGGGATTTAGGCCCTGAGTGTGCCTGGGAAATGAAACTCAAATTCCTAAAGAGATAAAGTCCCACTACTTCAAAATTACAAGATTTTGTCTGAAAAGGAGATCCAAGATCCCAGGCAAAATTGTACAACAGAGAGAGGCAATGATGGGAGAGGAGAGGAGGGGAGGGGAGGGGAAGGGGAAATTCTCTGAAAATAAATGTGCCAACAAGACATAAAATAGGCTATAAAACCTTTGAGAAAGTCAGCGCCACTGAAAAAATATCAAAGCATAATAACCAAAAATAAAAGTATTTATAGAAAAATTTAAAAATAAAAGCAATTCCCACCTCTCAAAAATAATTCTTGGTAAGACTTCCACATACCATTCTAAACTATATTATTCAACAAAAATGCGATCATTCTTAATGTCTTCAGAACCAATTTTTCTACACTGTTAGGAGCTTGTCAATAAATATGACTTATATTTTATTGTTTTATTTTATTTTATCTTTGTATTTTAGGGAAGAGTCTACAGTGTGTTCAGGGTCTCACTACTAGATCAGACTCGTAGTGATCCACCTGTTTACAGCCTCCCAAGAGCTGAGATTACAGGCCTGCATCACCACACCCAGTCTCAATTGTCGTCTCAGCAAGCCCCTGGGGTGGAGATGTCATAGCAGGCCCGGGGATCAAACCGCCGGCCCCTGTGATTTAATCTGCTGAGCTATCTGGCTGGCCCTTACCATTTTATTTTATTCAACTACTCTGTCACACCAAAATATAAAATTTAACAGGCAATTATTGCTAATTTTGCTTGATATAAACAGCATTGTAGTTATATTTTTCAAGTCTTTATGGATCAGATATTCATACTGAAGGATTTTATAGCAAACTAATATGCTAGAATTGGTTTTAAATTATTATAGGAAACAGAAGTATGGGGAGAGACAAATTAAAAATAAAAACCTAATTGCTGAAATTAGATGATGGGTGTTTTTTTCCTATTGTTGGTATGTTTGAAATTTTCATATGAAAAATAAAACAATCTCTTTTAACTGAAGTGCAATTGAAAATAGCATAGTAGGTTTGCCGCTGTAAGGCAATAAAGCAATTTCATTTTTGTAGATACCATTTGGTCATTTATATCTTAAGCAACTTCTCGGAAGCATCATCAGGTGATGCTTAGGAACACATTTCATTCCACTAATATAACAAGGAAGATATTCAGGAAAACTGAAATAATATGAAACTAATGAAAAATAACACAGCTTCCTTAAGGTCTTAATTTGAAAAGTTACTGAAGTTAGAATTCCCTTCTCCAAAATTCTAAACATCAGCTAAGATGAAATTCCCAAATCTGATTTAGCAAACTAATGTCAAATGAGTAAGTTAGAAGATTTCACACTCTGTATTCTCAATGTCTAAATATTAACTCAAAACATTTGACAACCTGATAAAATAATACTAGGGCAAAAAGGCAATCACAAAACTAGGTAACTGATCATATCAGCAAATGCCCTGAGGAAATGTATCTTATTTGCTCAAACACAATTTTTATCATGCATTAACATAAGGCATCTTTCTATTCCTCTCACCATCAGAATTCTTCAACAAACTTTCCTAAGTCTGAACTAGTCAAATAAAATTTCAACTAACCTTTATATACGCACTTGGGTAGATCTTATGAACAGCATCTCCAGGTGCACGTCCAGCTTCTCTGTCTAAGTAGTAACTCTGTACAAAGACTGCATGGTCACTAAGGCACCTGACCCAAACATCACCTTCACCTTTACATTCCAACTGCACACCTTTGCCTATGTGCAACCTTAGGAAGACAAACAGAATTACATTTCATCTTAGGTATTTACAAATAAGTATTAGTTCAACTTACATTACTGATATTGAAAATTCAAAATAAAGACAAAACAATGTAACATCATGCCCCAAAGATAGTCACTGTTACAATTTTGTATTTCCTTCTTTCTTTTCTACTCATATACAATAATGAACACAGTAGAGATTATTGCATGTTGGGAGCACTTAAGATGAGTCTCATTTAACCTTCACTATGCAATCAAGTTAAGTACTATAATTTCAATTATGAGCAAACTAAGCCTTATAAACATGCCAAAATCAATCTTCACCAGCAACATGTGACCACTTAAATTTTAAAATCAGTTATGTAATCATGAGTCGTATTTTAACCAGTCAAAAGCTACATGCAGTTAGTGGCTATTTAATTGAACAATGCAGATGTAAATCATTTCCTTCTCACAGAATATTCTATTAGCAAGCAATGGCATGGAAAATAATTTGCCAAAGTCACACATCAAGTAAAAGAACCAAGACTACATACTTATGCACACACAGATTTTTTTTTTTTTTTTGAGTTTGAGTTTGACAAAATTTATTGGTTATTTTAGTAAAGACATTCATCTCAGTCATTTTTCTCGCACACACATATTCTTAAGCAATTTAATACATTAGCCAAAATGTTTTTCTGTAATGTTATCTTAAACATTTCCATTTTGGTAAACTTATTAATGTTTTAATTATATAAAAATAAAATTTCACCATAGTTTACATAATTTTGCTTCTGGCAATTTTTCAACATCACAACTTTTAAAAACATCTGTGCTCATGTTACATTATTTTCTCAATACATTTGTAGAAATAATTCATTTTCAGAGAAAACAAAACCTAGTTTCCAAATGCATTCCTAAAGGTTTAGCTACTATTCAAAACATAGAAACCTCATTATTTTTTATCATTATATATTAAGCAACCATCTCTACTTAGAATGTTCACAAATTTTGAATTTAAGATGGTCTTTATTCCTTTACTTTTAACAACTCATAATGCATATGGGAAAATATAGTCTCAAATAAAAGACAATGTCACATGCTCAATTTTTAAAGTAACTAATGATATAATCAATACCTTGCTCTTTCAATGGCTTCTGTTCTGTGGACATTGGAGAGTTGCCCCAAGCAAAAGCGATCTCCTCCAGAAGGATCCACGTATCCATCAACAGTTACAATAGGGCAGCTAGAAGGAACCTTAAATGTCTCTCCTACCTGAACATCCATTTCAAAGTAAGCAATGGAACACCAATACTCAGGAGCTATTAAGAAATAAATGAAAGAAACAAAAACAAAAAATAACCACCTATGTAAGAAAGATACAAGATCTTCACCTTCACAAGACAAACTTTTTCCAAAAAGAAAACATGACTGAAAGGGAAAGGTAAACCAAACACACTCAAAAGAATTGGACTAAAATAGCAATGCATTAAAACAGCATGAATTTCTGTTTTCTATTTTCTACCTCAGTACTGAGGACCATTCAATTTGGTTCTTTCATCAGAGGACCACATCAACTAAGAATTTAGAGAACACAAGCAAGCCAGGCACTATGGTAATACCTGTAATCTCAGCACTCTATAATCCAGAAGTCTGATAAAGAAGAATGGAGAGCTTAAATCCAGCCTGGGTATTTTAGCAATTAAAATAATACTTTGCAAAGGGTTGGAATGTAACTTTATATGAAGTCCCTGGGTTCAACCCACAGTACCACCAAAAAAAAAAAAAAAAAAAAACTTTAAAAATGGTTTTATTTGACAGTATATATTTTTCTATGTTTTTTGACTTTGATTTTTTAAAAGCACACTAACCTCAAGATATATTTCAGGGAAGTGCTTGCAAAAAAAAAAAAAATCAATCTGTGGTAATTTTTATAGATGCCTAATTGAAAGAAAATACATAAGTTAGCCATTACAGTCCTAAATCAAGGTTAATTATATTCTACAAAGTATTTATACATTGGAATTCTCTATTGCCTCATGGGTGAAAGGACATGTCGTGTGTCTCAAGGGATATTTTCAGTAAACTCAATTTTAACTTTGAGAGTATGTTCAGTATATTCATTTGAACAAAGTGATTTAGAATTTTAGATGACTGGTAAAAAACGAGGTGGTACTTAGTTGGGATAGCAAATACAGCCAATTAACTTTTAAGATTTGAACACAGAGCCCACATGTATGAAAACTGTTTTTCTTTTTTTAGTTTACCTAACGTATCTGTAGAGCATCTAGGTGTCAACTAGACACTGCATGCACAGAAGTAAATAAAGCAGGGCTGGGGATATAGCTCAGTAGCATAAGTGCCTGCCTGGGCAGTGCAAGGCCCTGAGTTCAATCCCTGGTACTAGAAAAAAAAAAAAAGATAAAGCCCTTACTCAAGGAGTTGACAGACAAGTGGCAGCCAAATGAGCAAACAGGGGACCACCCACTCAGGACTCCCCTCCTGTCCTTTCGGACAGGAGCTTTCTTTCCCTCAATAAATATATTCTGCTCATTTCTGTCCTTTTTTTTTTTTTTTTTTTGGCAGAACTGGGGATTGAACTCAGGTCCTTGCACTTGCCAGGAAAGCACTTATTGTACTGAGCCACCTTATTCTGCTCATAAACTCCATAAAAAAAAAAAAAAAAAAAGCAAACAAATAAGATGTCAGGTAATGATAAATACTGTGAAGAATATTTTTAAAAAGAAAATTAATAGAAAAGATGGTTGGATGGAAGAAGAATAACCTTTCGGAAATATTAAGACATAAAAACCTCGTATATGAAGACTATGGAAGGAAGATTTCAGAGAAAAGCAAAAGCACATAGTAAGGAAGGAGGGAGGGAAAGAAGGAGGGAGGGAGGGAGAATGAGAATATATGAATGAGAATATGAGCTCATCCAGAGACACTAGAAAAAGTGAGATTGGTAGTTTGTAGGTTTACCTGTACCTCAATGTGTTTATTATAAACTAGAATTTCAAACAACATAATTTTCAACCATATAAAAAGATGAATGCTTTTTAAAACTCATTTCAATCTCTTCAAGAAATTTCTAAAATGTATCACAAAACTTAATTTTTATTTTAATTATTCTTTCTTCTTATAAAAGTAAGTCACAGTATTCTGGTGTATGTTCTGTGTCAGGCTAAAGTTCTGAGTTCCCTTTAAAGTGAAGCACAACTCATTTTGGCCACGAGATAAAAAATGCTATAGAACTGTAAATATTTCAGCCCATTTTTATTTTTTTTTATTTAATAAAGATCTTTTATTGTCTCATTAAAATATCAGATTGGCTTTACAATCCAGAAGCTTGTTTCTGCGGCTGGATTAACTCTTGGATCTTACTCATCTGGCTGCTGAACTGTTCCCTTTTCAGAAACATAGATACCATCCAAAAATTTTCTGATATCCTTATTTTTGACTGTTGTGGCTTGCTGAATCAAAGCAGCTGAATTTGAAACAAGCTCAATGTCATTTCCTTCAAGGATTAGTTCATCTTTCTGGGTTTGAGATACTGAGCAAGCAACACCTGCCCTCATACGAATTCGGCGAATGTATTTTTCACCCAAGAAATTCCGAATTTCAACGAGAGACCCATTCTCCTGAATAACGACGTTGATGGGGAAGTGAGCATACACAGACCTCATCTTGTAATGGAAGCCCAGTGTAACCCCCTTGATCATGTTCTGTACATGGCTACAGATCGTGCGGACAGTTGCCAACTCTTTTCTGTTTCCCCACCATTTGTCAACTCGGAGCCTCTTCTTTTTCTTCCCAAGGAGACTGAGTTCCACATTGATGTGGCTGAAGTCCCTCCAGAGGGTTCCTCTGGGGCCCTTCACAATAACTGTGCGTCCTTTCAGAGTGATGTCGACATTTTCTGGAATGTTGACTGTCTGATTGCTAAGAATGGTCTTCATTCTTGCGGGAGATGCGGCAAAGAGCTCAGTCCATTTTTAAAGAGACAAAATATTTTCAAATGGATTTCTTTCCACATAAATCTCCTTTTTATTTTTATTTATTTACTTTTTTGCGGAACCAGAGATTGAACTCAGGCCCTTGCGCTTCCCAGGGAAGCACTTATTCCACTGAGCCATCTCCCCGGCACCATAAATTTCCTTTTTAAAAAAAGGGGATATCTAAGAACCTTCTGTCTTAAAAAAACAAAATATATATTCTGGATTATTAATCCTGAGGGAATAGCTGGAAAAATTGTGTCCCATTTTGTTGGTTGTCTTCTGGCTGTTTCTTTTGCTGTGCAAAAATTTTTAAATTTAATATGACCCAATTTGTTGATTCTCAATATTATTTCCTATACAATCAGGGTTCTGTTCAAAACACTACTTACACCTATGACTAAGAATTTTACACATCTTTTTTTTTTTTTTTTTTTTTTTTTTTGCAGAACTGTGGATTAAGCTCAGGTCCTTGTGCTTCCCAGGCAAGCGCTTATTCTACTGAGCCATCTCCCCAGCCCCTCTAAGCAATGTTAAGCTAAATGTTTTACATTTAGCTTTCTGATTCACTTTGATTTTAGTTTAGGACATGGTGAGAGATATGAGTCTAGATTTAAACTTCTACATGTGGACAGCCACTTTTCCTAGTGTCATTTCTTAAAGAATCTACCTTTCTTACAATGCACATTTTTGGCCCTTCTGTCAAAGATCAGATGGTTGAATGTACTTGGGGTTGTTTCTGTAGCCTCTTTGTTCTACTGATCCTTATGTGCTTTTGTGCCAACATCATGCTATTTTTTTAAATCACTACAGCTTTGCAATATAATTTCAAGTCCAGGATTATGATGCCTCTTACCTTGTTTTTGTTAACCAGGACAGCTTTTGCTATTCTGGGTCTCTTCTGGTTCCATGTGAATTTTAAGTCTGTCTTCTCTAGTTCTGTAAGAATGCTATTGGTATTCTGATTTGGACTACATTAAATCTATGTATCAATTTTGGAAGTATGTCCATGTTGGCTATACTGGTTCGGCTTATCCAAGAACAGGTGATATCTTCCCCTTTTCTGATGTCTTCACTTCCCTTTTTCAGAGTATTGTATTTTTCACTGTACAGGTCTTTCACTTCCTGAGGTTAATTCCTAAGTAATTATTCTTGGTGCTACTGTGAATATTTTTAAAATTTCTTTCTCAGTGGGTTAACAAGACCTCTCTCAGTAAAAGATCCAGTCAAAAAATAAGTGAAATGAAGACACTTCATATAAAAGGTACAAATGGCCAATACATCCATGAAGAAATGCTCAACATCTCTAACCATTAGAGAAGTATAGATTAAAACACTGAGACTCCATCTGATCCCAGAAAGAACGGGCATCATCAAGAAGTCAAACAGTAATAAATGCTGACTAGGCTGCTAGGGAAAAAGAAGCCTTGCTACACTGTTGGTGGGAACAGTATGGATATTTCTCAAATAAGTAAAACTAGAAATCCTATTTGACCCAGTTATTCTCCTGGTATGTACCTTCTGAAAAGAGCTGAAGACATTATATTACGGTAAAACATATATACCCCATATTTATAGCAACACAAATCATAATAACTAAATCTTGGAAGCAGCTTTTATGTCCATCAAGAAATGAATGGATAAGGAACAATGTATTTAGAGACAATGGAGTACTACTCTCCCATAAAGATAGATGAACTTGAATCACCTGTAGGAAAACAGATGCACTGTAAGATCATAATGTTAAGTAAAATCAATCAGACTTAAGTATCACATGGTTTCTTGTATGTGAAACCCAAATTACAAAAAAACAAAAAGATAATAGGAGGTAAGGTGGTAACTCTTTCACAAGTGTGAAGAAGAACAAGAAATGGAGAGGAGAAAAATGGGTATGGGATGGGAGGAGGACGAAAGAAGAATTAAGTTGGGTTATGTACATATATCAACTCCACACAAGGAATGTAAACATTATGTATTACAAACATGTACTAAAAAAAAGATACAGCATATTGTTGAATATAAGAAAATGGAAGAGAGGTGCTACTGTTTCAAAACTACCCACAATGGAACATCTGGAGAAAACTGTAAAAAAGTAGCAGTACTTTAATGCTGTCCACAAACATTTACTCACAATTAAGGATAGTAACAAGATTAACTACCTTAAAAAAAGAAGACAGCGCAGCACACCAGACAGGCTCAGCATGTGGCACTCACCATCCACTGGAACCTCCCCCAGCAGACAGGCTTGGTGTGGAACCCTGCAGTGGATCTCCTGGCAGAGGTTAGGGGCGAGACCCAGCCAGCTAATCCAGGAGCAGAGGATCTTG